TGGAGGCGTGGGTCCCAGAGAGCCCCTCGGCAGGGAGCCAAGGCTGGAGGCCATGGACCTAAGCCTGGCTTCCAGGCTTTGCACTAAGGCGAGACCTTCACGTGTCCGACTGACAGGTCAAGAGGATGGCAGAGAGTTGGGAGAGGCCAACAGAATAGAGGGCAAAAACCAAGATTTCTGGATCCTGGCCAGCCATGTTTCACCTCTGGTTTAACTACTACCAGTGTCAGATCTCGGACACTTTTAACTTTCTGGGTGCCTCGGTTTCATCTGTAAAGAAGGATGATAATAGTACCCGCCTCGTGAGGTTGTTACATGGGACAAGCGAGTGGTAATAAGTGTGATTCTGATCTCTTCAATATAATGGCATTTTTCTCCTAATTAAGGCACGTTTCTTAAATTTTTCAGGAACTCTTTTGCTAAGTGTTCAAATCAGCACTACTTTAAGTAGGCTATTGTACACGATCCCATTACTGCGTAAAACTTCTCAAATGTTCATCTCTGTCCCATCTTTCTCTAGGTCAGCTTTCCTTTTTTATATCGTGGAAATTGCCAAGAGTTTTAATCCCCACGGTCTTCCTTTAAGGGGTGCCATAAAAAGATGAATGATGTAAACCTTCCAACACTGTAATTAGCTGACAGTTAAATGATTTATTTAATAGAAGCTAGAAAAGTTAGGGAGTGCAAATAACTAAAAGGCTTCCTGTCCTTGATTCCAGGAACTAGAATTACTAAAACTGGCAGCTCTGCACTGCTGTCATTATCTCTCTTTTCCAGCTGGTGAAAACCAACACCAAGAACCTGAGTGCTGTGTGCAGTATGGGACTGGAGGGACAGAAGGAGAAGGCAGAGGCACCAGCTATTCCGTAGCATGCAAACGTTAAAAACTGTGACTAAGATGAGGTTTCAGATGATCTCTTGGGTTCCTTCTAGCTCTTACCTGTAGGAATCTTACAAAGAAATACAAAGTTATATTACCTTTGGGTCTTCATTCAACTTAAATCAGGTTTGTGAAGACAATTATTTATTTATATGATCCTGGTACAAGAATGTCATAACTAGTTTGATACATGAATTGGAAGTACAAACAGACCAGGAGTTGGAAGGTCATGGATCCAAATGCTTCTTCAAAAGTTAGAGAATTCTGGGAACCAGCAATTTGCGTAATGGCTATGTCGCTGGACTACGCTGCCACATTGTCGACCGTGGTTCATGTCTCGGACCTGGTGGCTTAAAACTCATGCCGGGCGCATGTGCGTGCATGCCCAAGATCCTGAGAGGAGAATGGAGGAGAAGGAATTGCGGTGTGACCATCCCCCCTGGGGGGTGATTTCTCGCTTTCTGTCTTTATGTCTCTCTCTGTTTGGCAAGCGCACCGTGCCCTATAGTGAAAACCTCTCAAAAAAAAAAAAAAAAAATAAGTTAGAGAATTCTCAGTTGGTGATCATCCAGATTGGAATAGTCTCAATTTTTGACAGGCAATGGCTCCCAATAACCTCCTGTGTATCCCCTACTGGACCCAACAGATTCCTTTGCTTATATATGGAAGACCTTGACCAAACATTGATTGAATTACGTTACTGTGTTTGTGGTTGAGCTCTTATTACTTAAGGAGACCTGGGAAACCACAGAGACACTCGGGGGACATCACTGCAAACATCATAGACAAGAACACCCAGTAACTTAATGAGTTAATGGGATTTTGGATGAGCAACACTGGCCACAGGCTTATTTGGCAAAACAAAGTGGAAATTTCTGGTATATTTTCCCACATTATATGGGTAATTTCTAAAACACTTTATATTGGACTTAGTTATGAGTGTCACTAGCTCAATTTTATACTTTGATTATATACTCTAACTATAGTATTATTAAGGTTCATTTTTAAAAATTGGGGGCGGCCAGCAGATGGCATACTGGTAACATTGCTGGACTTTCACATGGCTGACTGTGGTTCAAGTCTCAGACCCAGTACCTTGAAAATCAAGCCAAGGGCACTAGCAGTTTAGTGCTTATGTTGCAGGAATCCACATGGATGGCCACAGTTAAGTCCTGGACCCAGCAGCTTCAAACTCATGCCAGGCGTGTGTGTGTTAGTGCTGAAAATCCGAAGAGGAGAATGGAGAAGAGATTGTAGTGTCCCTGGGGGCTGATTTCTCACTTTCTGTCTCTCTGTCTCTCTCTCTGGCCAGTATACATGACCCTAGAGCAAAAATCTCTCTAAGAAAGGGAGAGAGAGATGGGTATTTGTATTTTATTTTTCAAAAGTTATGTGCTGTGCTAATGACAATATTTAAAGTGCTGCCAAAGGTAAAAGTACATGTTTAAATCCCCCACAGGATGCCATAATAACCAAGGTCTGAAGTACAATTTGTGGTCAGAACATAAGAACATAGCGAAAAATTCTCCAAAGCAAATTATCCATCCTTCACTATCATCTTCAAAATATGGATGAAAGGGTCAGTTCTTAGAGTCTTCTGTAAATTGAGACTGAAATGTGACTCTATAGCTATTTGATCCATTTAATTTTTTTAAGACGGGTAAGCAGATAGTTCCCTAAGGGGGTGGGGATGGGAGGGATTTTTAAAAATAAGGCTGTGGAAAGCTTGTGTTGTGGTGCACATATTCATATTTACCAGCCACAATCATTTCTGAAATTTCAAAAGAAACCAATGATCTTCTATTGATTAGAAAAGTCAGTTTCAATGACCCTACATATAATTATTCTTCATTGTTGGTGGGGGAGCAGATCATTTAATATCTATGTGCCCAGGGGACAGTAGTTGGCGTAATGGCTATGTCCCTGGATTCCCATGTAGTCAACCGTAGTTCAAGTCCCAGACCCGGTGGCTTAAACTCACGCTGGGCGCGTGTGCATGCATGCCCAAGATCCCGAGAGAAGAAT